TCTGGAGCTGACAAGCCCCACTGCCCACATGTCCACGCACACAGTCAACACAGTCCTGCCCCATGTGCATGCCCCGACCTCCTGAAGTGGACCCAGTCTCTCCACAGCGGGAGCCCCACACACTCCACCACTGCCCCACACTCTCCACCCACTCCTTGTGCATACCCTGCCCCACTGAAGTCGGCTCAGTTGCCAGGCTGCAGAGAAACCTGTCACCAATCTATGCACGCCCACAAGTTGCCTGAGGGCTTGTTGGGTGGAGCCAGTCCCTAGGGTGGGCTGCCTGGCCTGGCTGAGCTGGATTAAATCGGTGCTCTAGTGGGTGGGGCAGACCCTGGGCTAGCAGGCCCCAGGGAGAACTCCAATGGCGTATCGTCTGCCAGTGTCTGTGTCAGGACACCCACACCAGTCCAGAACAACGGCTGCTGCCAATGTCCCAGTCCCTGGAGAGGTCTCACCTCTCACTGAGATGCACTCAGAGCCTATCAGGTGAGTCTCTTCTCACCAAAGGGCTGTGCACCTTTCTTTCTGGTGATTTTAGGTTGCTTTCTGAAACGGGTGATTTTGTGTGCGGGCCCTTTAAGAGCCGGTTTTAATTTCTTTGTGAATCAGCTTTTCTGGAGGTACTCCCCAATGTTTTAGTAGCAGGCAAAGTCAGATATTATGCCACTCATCTCGATTGTGCTGGGTCCACAAAGTGCCCCCAGCGGGGCGCTCCCCGGCTTTGGGGCCCCGCGCCTCCAGGGAGGGCTGCGTACCTGTGCGCTGCTCCCGGGTGGCCGTGAGGCACTGCAGCTTGTGAAGGCGGCGTTTTTCCTCTCCAGAAAGGAGTTTCTGCCTCTTCCACCTCGATTAGGACTGTTGTTTGTTGCAGGAGCTCCTCTTAGCCAGTTTTCAGTTCTGTCTCAGGGGTAATTTTTCCATGAGTAGTTGTAAATTGGCTGTGTCTGCGGGAGGAGGTGAGTTCAGAGTCTGCCTACGCCACCATCTTGACTTCTCTCCCTAGTGTCCCTTATTTCTGTTATTGTTTTTTATTCACTATTTTGGCACAGGGGAGAAACTCCAAGGTCCTTCAAAAACTTACAGCCATTATCCTATGGGACAGGGAACCAATGTAGAGTTTTCCTTCCACTCTTACAAGCATACATTTCAACTGTGTTTTTAGGAGCTGGGGAAATAATTGCACGTGGGAAGAGTGGTCTCCATGGGCTGACAATGGATTATGATAAATATTCTATCAATCAGTTGCTCCCTAAGTCTTGGACTAGTGTACCCCAAGGACCCCAGGATATAGTATTAGTTCTGAGCCATTGCCCGTTAACACAGCAAGGTCTGGATGTTTCTCTTGCTTCGACACACAGTTATTCTCCATCACAGCCTGGAGGAGGCTGAGAGCAATATTCCCAGTATGCACACGAAATATTATTGTTGGGACCAGTGATACCTTCAGTGAATCTGACGCTGGTGATGGGTTTGAATGAGGGGCGTGACTTAAGTGTGGTGGCTCAAAACTCTGTTCTCAAGAAATGTAGGATTTTTCTTATAAGGTTATCACACAAATAAAATGTGACTTCAAGAAGGTGGGGCCCTTCTATTTTCTTCCTGGAGATCCCACGATCAATCAGCTATTCAAAGCTGGGTCAGACTGTTCTGATTACCCTTCTGGGGTTGCTTCTTACTACAGTCACCGCTCATGCCTTTCCTCTTGTGATTAAGCTTTGCTACTTCAGTGTCTACCTGCACTTCTCCAGTATCTGGGGAGATCCAAGGAGAGTGGACTTCAACTATGCCAGCGTGCTGCTCTCCAACATGTTCCTCAAAGCTCTGAGAAAGGGAACGCCTTCTGGAGAACCCTATCAGTCGTAAATAGAGGTTGGGGACATCTCACACATAGGAAGGGGCGGAGGATGATAAGCCAGAAAAGAAAAAGATGCAAACCTAAAACAGAATGCAAAGACCACAGACATGTACAAGAGCACTATTACGTTCCTGCCCCCAACATGAGTCATGTCACTTCAACAGAGGACAAAGGATGCATTTTTTTTTTCCTCGGATCATCTCTGACTTTCTGGTTTTTAAAAACATAACACAAGTTTAGAACTCAAATTTTTGTTTTATATTATATACTGTAATTTAATTATGTTTGCCATTTGTATTAAATTGAGGGATAAAATATACCTGTGATTTTTTCAAATTTGGGTTGTAAATCAATTTAATGTTTTGTGACAACAGTTAACAAAAATGAAACAGACCAAAATAGAAAATATTAGACTGCATTGCATGCACAAAATAAGAGTAAATATTGTTTTGTGAAACTTTTGTTTCTTTTCATATAGAGTGAAATACACTAAAATGTTCAATGATTCTTTAGATTTAGCACAATTTCAAAGCTCATATGTAAGACAGTTTATATTATGCCTATTTATTTTTAACGTCATATTTGATTCCTATCTCAGGGCATATAGGCAAGCATTGTTTTCAAGAAGGGTAGATACGTGCTATTTTTCCATGGGCCTTGCCTATCTCAGAATCATTTTGTTTATTTCTTTAACAATGAAAATATAACTGAAAATATAACTTAAGTATAAAATTATTTTACCACAATCTTTTTCCAGCATCTTCTGGGATTTGTATTGTGGAGAACTCTAACATCTTATTTCCTGATTTTTTGATCATTCTTTTTTTTCTGTGTACATGTAGAGTTTTTTGCCCTCTCCCTCTACTTTTTCGATTACAATGTCTTGCCAACAAGTGTCTAGGAGTGAGTCTCTTTTCTTCCAATCTACCTGACCTTTCCATTTATATACTCATGTTTTTATTTCAAATTACATTTGTAATTATTGCAACTAGTTCTGTGCTACACTAAAAGCAGTCCTGATTATCTTTCAATCTTTCCTTTTGCTTCTCAAAATTACCCATGGTAAATTAGCATTGAAACATTGAGTTAAATTCCCTCATGCCTAACATACCCCTGCAGCGTCTATACAAAAATATAACCCAACGATTTGAAAGATTCAGTGTTCTTCCCAAAGGCGTCTTGTTTACAAGCTAAACTAGACAGGATAAGTCAGCTCTGGGGAGGGCCAGTGTCCTGATCTCAGAATAGGAGCTCACACTGGAATCTTCACAAAGTGTTCTGTTCTTCTGTCCTTGGCTTGCTCTTCTCCGGCTTTTGCTTGCCTGATATTAACTTCATGCCCCACCCCCCCCACCGCCTTACTACACCCTTGCCCTCTTTCCAGTCCACGAACAAGCCTAGATGGACTTCACGTGAGGGGCTTTGCAGAAGTTGCTCCCTCTCCTTGGAAACCTCTTCTCCCAGGTCCTCTTCTGACTGACTTCTTGTCATTCACGTTTTTGCTTAAATGTCACCTCCTCAGAGCAGCCTCCCCTGACCACTCCTAGTGACACCTCTATATATCATCCTGGTGGGTTTCTTCTTAGAGTTTATCACTATCTTATGTTTTCTTGATTTTGAATGATTACTGTCAGTCTCTCCCCAGATAAAGGAAAGGACCTTATCTATTCCATCACTGAAACTATGAAATCTATAACACTTCCTGAATGATAGACTGCCCCCCTTATTAGTGAGCAGTTTTAAAATTAAATTTATTTGGGTTTAATATTTGAAATTACATGCATACATATTTTGTAGCTTCATAGTCTTAATACCAAGATGCTTACGTATTAACTCAGACAGATACACTTACCTTTTGCAATTTTTTTTTCTTACAGAAACTACCAGTAAGTTACACTTCATATTTTATCTTTTATATAGGATCAATACCAGGACCACTTATTTGAAAGGTATTTGTGTATATTTTGTAAAATTATATTTTAAGCTCTTAGCATTGGTTCTAAAAATTCAACAAACATCATCCTATATCTGTTATTCCATGCTGTATATGAGAAATTTAAAGGAAAATTTTTTCTGGACTTAAAAATATATGTTTTCTTTTCCAAATATACATATCCTATTTCCCAAAACATGTCTTGTTGTCCCAAGAATTTTAGGGTAAACTAGATCAAAATTATAATAATCAGGTCCTTATAGGTGCTTAAAGGCATCTAAGCATTCTTCTTTTAGGCCAGCAAACCATAAGCAAATCACTTTCAGAGTCAATGAACCTGAAGGACCATCTCCATAAAACAAATACACATGCAAAAATATGCAAATTATTTCAATGGGTTCATGGACTCCAGCAAGTTTATTTACTAACTCAGACTAAGAGCTCTGCCTTTAGATGATTTTTGTTATCTTATTTTATCCTCAAGTGTTTTCATTTGCACTGTTTCCTTTGTAAGCAATCTGTAAGTCCTTAAGAAAGAACTAAAGAATTTGACTTGAATTCAGGTAAGCAATTTCAACTTTTTATGATTCCCTCTTATGAAAAACATTACATAACCTTGGAAATCAAGGTTGAGAAAGTCAGATAACCTATTTTTCAACCTTTATTTGTTTCTATAGTCATGGTTACACACGAAGTAATAGTCCCAGAGGGATGCAATATAAGGTGAAAACCACTACACGGTCTCCTTAATTTGTTATAGCTTCTGCTCCAATATTTAAGGTTTCACATAAACTTTTCGAGTTTGGAGAAATAGTGTGCTGTGTTCTTTCTCCAAGACGCCAGTGAGTCAGACTCTTGATAGTGCACTGACATAGAAGTCTTCATTGTTTTGGACACTGACACAATGAGTACAGTGCGAGTTCTCCGCAAATGAGCATATATCCTTTATTATGAGCGAGCATGGTAAACATCATTGATACGGAGACAAGTCTGTCTTGCTTCAGAACTGACCAACCTCACGACCTGAACTTTGGGAGAAAGTAAATTACATGGTAGATTTTTCCAGCCTCACTGAATTTAAATCAGTATACTAACTTATGCTAGAATGTATGTGATTTTTAAAGCCCAGAGAGACTTAATAAATGATATTTATCTTACCATTGTTTGATGCATTTTAAGTATTAAACTTTGAAAGAAAATAAATTTCTTGGTTAATAAAATAGCGCAATTAAATCCTTTATTTATTTTCCTCATTAGACTGAAATAATAAACCAAATGAACAAGAAAAATGTCAATAAAAGATTTAGCATGAAACATTATTTCTTAGAAGATAATGTCAATAACATTATGAAAATATACACATTGCTTGTAATCGAATGCAGAAAGTCAATACATTTACCTTTGAGAAGCAGAGGCATTCACTGCCTTCAAGCTTCAGTTTAGGACCTCAGGACGGAAGCCGACGTCCTAGACAGATGATCTTCTGGTTTTGTTATGAAAGAAAATGAAAGAGTCTCTCTGCAAGGAAAACTTAGGTCATTTCCATTTCAACCCATATCTACTCCAGAGCATACATGAAACACACTAATAGTTCTGCCTATCATTCTTTGCCAGAGCAGAAAACAGGTTTTAAATGAAAATAGTCTGAATTATCATAAAGCCAAAAATAAGAATGGAATATTTAAAATTATCACTCACTCAACTAGTGAAAACCAAACACATTATCTTCTTTAGTCAGGGATTTGCAGTTATATTTTGCATATTATATTTAGCCAACAACCAAATTTTAATTTTTAATCAGGAGACAATAAAATATAATTAGCAGCAAATAACAGAATGACAAAGCTACAAAAATTCATAAAGGTCAAAGGAAGCAGCATTCTAGCCCCAGCAAGAGTGTTCTTCCAGGGAATCAGGGAATCATGGTGCCCACTTCCCCTTTCCCACATTCACCTCCAAGGCAAATTTTCTAGAAGCAACATTGCTTTTTGACAATAATAATGATGATAATAATACAGAGATAGCTGTCAAAACCAGACAATGTACATTCTTCAGAGTCAAGAGACCCACAAACCTCAGTAAACAGCGTACATAAAGGAATATAGCAAATTCCAACACAGCATACACACAACAAAATTAATTCATTCATCAGAGACTGATGTAATTTTAAAATGCGTTTTCCAGAAGGAAGCAGAGCAACAGAGACCATCTGCAGCTGTCAAACCTGCGGAAGTGAAACAATGCCTTACGAAATTCACACAATACATGAATTATAAGTGAAAAACAAATGCTTTATCAAAAAAAAAGTTGGTTGATGGCCCAACATATAGATATTTGCATGTATATATTTATATATCTAGTGATAAAATCAGCTTGTATGAGGGTCACAGTCTATCTACTTTGACGTTATAGCACAGATACTATAAGCGATTTACAGAATTTGTCAAGTTCGCATATACAGGAGTTGCAAAATGAATTAAAATACATTGACATATAGAACACACAAAATGTATTTATATAAACCTCCCAGGATTGACAGGGATTGGCCGTAATCAGCATAATCAGCATTGCCACCATTAAAGAAGAAATATAATCAAGAAAAAGGAGAAAAATCCAAGAAAAAAGGGAAAATTTAAAAAATTCTTCCATTATTTTTTATTTAAAATAACGTTCTCCCTGTTGACTCGCAGTGTTGATAAGTTTGTTCTTGCCCCAAAACAAGGATTTTGTTTAATGATAGTTTATATTCTGTAGCCTTTTGATCTCTGTTTGCTTCCTGCAGATAATGGGTCCTTTAGTAGGAAATCAGTGGTCTCCATGGTAAATATTTACTATACCGATGACGGTCAGGCCAACCCCTGAGTAGTCAGTGAGATGGTGCTTTAAGTAGCCAAAAGAAAAGAAAAAAATAGATCTTGCTATTAGAAAATGTCCTATCACTTCACATTAATTCTCTTGAAATAAAAGATCAGTGATTTGCCAAAGAAAATATTATGGACAAAGCGTGTGATAGCCTCTTCGTTTATGCTTCCGGAAGCAGGCGCTCCTTGTGTAGGTAATTAGAGTACAGTGGGTGCAGAGTGGTGCTTGGAGTTTAGGGTCAACTTTGCTGTCCGCTCCGTAGATTTTACAGGCGATTTGCTCTTTGCTTTAAGAAGAGAAAGTGATATTGGAAAAAGTCAGCACTTTAGATTAAAGCAAAGCACCCTTCACAAAGCCACAAACAAGAAGCAGGACAGAAAGTCCATGGCTTGTAGCTATCCTCGCACCTGCGGAAGAAGTTATAAGATATTCGCTCATCTTGAAGATTTCCAACGCTCCTTATTAGGCTGTTTTAAACATATACATATATATATTTAATTAGCTCGCCAGCTTGGCTCTGGTGCCCATGAATGTCTTGGCATGCACTGCAAATAACAACACATACAAAGTATTTCAGTCCCAGGAAGTTGGTCTTGCTTGTTCTGTCTGTTTTCAAACAATGCCATCCCACGGCTGGGAACACTGAGAGAACAAATCCAAGCACATTTCCCTCAAGTAATTCTTTGAGGATCATTCCCTAGAGTCATTGGTTGTTCCTATATTGGTACTTAAAAACACATCCCCTGTCTTACTACTTGTAAGCATGAAACCACAGGAGATACAACCAAGGCTGAGAGCAGCAGGCTTCTCCAGGGTGGGGAGGATGTGTTCTGGGATGGGTGCATTTGGGCATTTTCTTTTAGAGGAAGATCTTCCTCAATTTTTTTTATCCTTGAAATCTGAGAAAAGTTAGCGCTATCAAGAATTAGAAATTTTTGCAAGAACTCCAAGACTATGCTAAGGGAGAGAATTAAATTGTAGTTTTACAATTTTTTCTTCATATATTTTATCCAATAAGCTTCTAGCTACAAATGATGTACTAAATATCTTTATTAGTAAGAAAACAAAAAGTGTGATGAAACTCAAAGCATTTCTTTTCTTTCTTTAATTGGAGAAAGGTTACAAGGTTTGAAGAGGGTAAGGGTAGGGAAATTCAATCTTTTGAATATTTCAGCTAAATCACATTCAGGTCCACATTGGCAAGGATAAAAATTGAGGCAAAACCACATGGTCTCAAGAAGTCACTGCAGATTAAATCTTTGGGGGTTCTAAAGAGGACATTAAGTAGACTCACATTACTGGTTTTTGGTTAGTGTTGTCAATTGATTTGCCCTTCTTTGGTGGGGGAGCCATATATTTAACACAGTATCTCCTCATAGAAACCTAACGACTGAAGACCCAGAGGTTAGTGGCGGGTCGCTGGAGAGTGTTCCTTCATTGAAGCTGGGTAACAAGATTAAAAAATGCAACAGTGACAGTATAACCCATGTGCAGCCTAAGTACAAAGATAATGCAAGGAAAATATATACAATCTATGTAGAACTACTAGCATCAGAGCTTTCCAAAATTAAATATATGTTCTTGTTATCTTTTGAAGAGAGAGTCTTTGACAAGGATTCATTTAACAAAACAAAACAAAAAAAAAGAAAGAAAGAAAGAAAGAAAGAAAAAGTAATGATTACATGGCTCCTTAAATAGCCAATGGCATTTGACTTGACACAAAGCATGTCACGTATTGAATCAAGGTTTTAAAAAAATGCTTAAAGCAATAAAACCAACTAAAGTGATTCACTCTTCAAAAAAGATATTTTGTGAAATTATGGTTTCCTTTTCTGCATGAGCATTGCAGATTGGCTCAAACTTGCTGCAACTATGGACTACGCTGCCCCTTTCTCAAGGAAGCAACTCTTCAACGGTTGCCTGATGCCATCATTCCTCTAAGATATGAAGCGAACAGCTACTCATTTTGACTCAACGTTTCCTATGACAATATGTCCAGCATATGCAAGTTAAAACAAAATTTACATCAGCAGTATAATTTGAAAGAAACTCAATTCTATACTGCAAAGAGTATTTTTTAAAAGGCCATTAAAATTTTGAACTGCCATCAGATATACAACATACTTGTAACACAGCACTTTATTTTTTCAGATTGTAATCCTTCATCCACTCTAGGCACGTGCATTTCCTAGCATATTTTTTTTTTTTTTAAACATAGGAAGTATACTCTTTTTTTTTTTTTTTAATTGTTTTATTTTTCTTTCTTTATTTATTTTTCCCCCAAAGCCCCAGTAGATAGTTGTATGTCATAGCTGCACATCCTTCTAGTTGCTGTATGTGGGACGCAGCCTCAGCGTGGCCGGAGAAGCGGTGCATAGGTGCACGCCCAGGATCCGAACCCAGGTCGCCAGTAGCAGAGTGTGTGCACTTAACCACCAAGCCATGGGGCCGGCCCTCCTAGCATATTTTTAATTAAATGAAATTTATTTCTGTCAGGCCAATTATAAAGTCATTTTTTTGCTGTACAGTAATTCTAAAGCAAATTTGTTTGGTCATCAAATCACTCATTGTTTTTCTCTTCTTTTTATGTTTTACTTATGTCTTGAGTAAAGGGATACGTACTCCTTTATCTTTGTCATCCCAAAGAATTAGTGAAATCTGAGAATCTAAAATGCTATAATTTGCCCTATGTGATTTTAAAAAATAATCATCATAGTCCTTTTCACTCAGATGTAGACTATTCTGAATATAATATTTTTCTCAATGAATATAACATTGTTTATCAAACACGATATGGTCTATTCTACAGAGAGGTTTTAAAAATTATTTTGTAAAAAGTAAACTTTGGCCACTCATCATGCTGTATTCTTATTTTTACAGATAAACATCTTATTTTTTGTGAAATAATGAGATTCATGATTGTAGTCAGGACCCCTGAGTTCTAGTTTCCTCTGCCGCCACTCATTTCTAAAATCCCAAATAAATACTTATTTCTTCTGTGTTTTCTAAAATGAGCATACCTGTTTGTGTATTATTGTTGTTTTTTTTTTCCACATTAGTATGCCAGACATTGTGTTGGAATAGAATTATCTATTTTGTTTTATTTGGTTTCTCTTGCTCAGTGCCCAGGCCCAGCAGGATAACCTGTGATGCCCCTAAGACAACCGTGCATTAAGTAACTCTTGTCCTCAAATGACCTGCTGTCCACTGTGTCTGTTCACACCAGACACAGTGTAATCTCTCTCTCCTCTGAACTGTGGGTGTTTGGGTTTGCTGCTCCTATGACCTTAACTTCGCTGACATTGACGTGTAATCCTTTATGTTCATATCTTTTTTTTTTTTAAAGATTTTATTTATTTATTTTTTCCCCCCAAAGCCCCAGTAGATAGTTGTGTGTCATAGTCTTATCTCACTGATTACACTATAAGCTCATTAACGGCAAGGGGTAAGATTTTAGCGATTTTTTTTATTACTCTCAATGTCTAAAACTATGCCCTGAGAGTTTTTAAACTTTTGCACCCAACACAAATTACCCTGTGAAGAAGAAAGGGAGATGCTGTTATCTAAACTATGTGAAGAAAAGGTGCAGATAGCATGCCTAGATGAAGAGTAGCCTAATAGAACCTAGAGATTTCTCTCTCACTTAGAATGCCATTTCATGATGTCCTTCAATTTCTATTTAATAATGATGTCTTTCATTTGTTTTTATACTTAAAGATTTTCATCGTACTCTCTGATGTAATTCCCCATGCCTTTGTAAGGCAGGGAAGATATTTTCTCCATTTTGCAGATGGAAAAGTCTTCTTAGAAGTCTAAGTAGTGCAGAAACTTGGCTTCTATTTCTCAGCCCTTTTTATACCTCATGCAATAGCCAACGTCACACTGCCTTCACTGAGATGTGGACAAGCAAGCATTTCTCAAGAGAGTGTCTGTCACAGATGAGAGCTTGACCAAAAAGAAACATGAAAAAAAAGCCTCAAATATTTTATCTTCACTAGAATTATTATTTCAGAGAATAACAGAAAAATTGGCCTATTTCTTAAAACAAATAAATAGAAAACAATCAACACAGTAGTTGAGACCTTGACACCCTCAGCAACCAGGCAGAGATGGTACGCAGTTATACCACCACATCATCAGAGGCGTTGCCATGGAGAGCTTAGTTCCCCCTCTTCTCCACCTCGTTTAACTGAGCACAACTTCCCAGACTGGAAAGTCTGCCTTGCCCTTCTCATCTGTCTGCCAGATGGAAGAAAGCAGCTCCCTTCTAGCACCTTCCTTTTTAGACTGTCCCATCTGTACTACCATTTCTTCCCTGTATCTGTGATCGAGAGGCTGGAATACACTGGCATATTTAATAATGCTGCTTCCTTCTTCTTGCTCACCTCAATCTCCAAAATGACTGCAATGAGTTGGGCACCTACTCTGCGTCAGGGAATACACAGTAAACTCTTTGCACACACTGTCTTAGTTCATCCTCTCAATAACCCTGCATAGGAAACACACAGCTCAGGAAGATGTACCTCTGCGACATGGAATAACTCAGCCTAGGTTACACGGATAACAGGGAGGAAAGCAATGGTACAGAAATGCAGAAACAGCGACGTGGTCAGCGCAACTTAGAATATGGGTGTGCTTCTTTCCGAAACTCCCTGTGGCAAGCAACCTTGCCTCAGTGTCTCCACAGCTGTTAAATCAAGATGTGAAGCTATTATCTGAATGTACACTAATCTTTTAGAGAAAATGCACTGGATATAACCCACCTTAGAGAAAAAATTATTTGATATAAAACTTCTTTTTCCCAACTCTGAACTGATAAGTATTGGATATGAAAACATCATCAGCCTCTTAGTTTTCCTAAGCATTAATAATGGGTAAAGTTTGTTTTGCTCCATATAGCCTACCAAATGTCTTATGATATAGTAATATTTTGAACTTTTCACATTATAGACTTTCAGAGCTTAAAAGTTCCTCTAAATTCATCTAAATATTTGAGTGAGAGGTGCTTTACCGTTATTCTTTCATGTCCCTCTTCTTTCTAAGAACTTCTCTTTCCAAGCATTTGATTCATATTTGATAGCCCGGGACCAAGAAAGGTTAACCTGATTGTTCAAAGTGCCACCATTAGTTAATGACAGGGAGAGAATGTCACTCACTAATGTCACTAACTATATGTTCTTGTTATCTGAACAGAACATAGAGCTGTTGACTACCAGGAAAGATCATCAAAGGAGGATATGGGGATTTAATTCAGAAGATTAAGACAACTATCTAGACAATGTGTCCCGTCTTAATTTTACCAGCTCCTCGATATCCACTTTCTCTTGGCTATGAATATTTTCTGATGGATTAATTTCCTATGTGCATACAACTTTTTGTTGGTTTAGATTTGGGGAAAAGTCACCAT